AAGTTCAGCTTGTACAATCAAGCTGCAGGCTTCCTCCACTGTAAAACAGGGATGAGGACTGAACACAACTGCAGAGGCCACTGGGATACTGTGGCGAGGAAGCCTTGAAGAGGAGCCTATTCCTGGTACACAGGTCTATCTTGGGATCACAATTCTACTGCTCTGAATTATCCAGTCTTAGCTTTCTAGATCTGTCCAAACTAATGCATTACTCTTAAAGAAGCTAAAAATGCTTGAGAAAAATATGGGACAACAACTAGGATATGTAACTCCTGAATTGCTAGCTAGTATTGAAGAATAAAAAACCCCGGCMTCTGGTGCTGAATTTAGCCCTTACAGGTAGGACTTGTTTAAGAGTACATTTTAGGTGCTATTTGTTCATGGTACTCTGGAGTCCCCTCCTCCTTGAAGCAAAGGTTGGATGTTCCTCTCTGCAGCCTCTCCAGCTGGCTTTGGCAGGCTCTCAAGTACAAGTTTTTCATGTGTCTGGRACTGGGTCACCAGAACAAACTGGTTAATAGTTACACAGCATAACTCAAGTGCAGTACTGGATGGAAGGGAGTAATCAACAGCATACATTATTTTATCCCTTGCCCTGGTAATTAACATGGAATAAGTTCAGAGTGTATAGCCTGTTTCTGGCATTCTGTGCAACCACATTGCACAGCTATATAATCTGTTCAAAGCTGCTTGTTTGAAACTCACAGAATCCCATTCTTTCAATCACATCAGGATTCAGTATCTAGCTGGCTACAGTTACAGCAAAAATGTATGTAAGAGATTTACTGCAGAAAAGCATTAGGAAAAGGTTTGAGAAGTTATTACTTGCTCTCTATTACCTTCAAGAAATAGCTGGAGCTGAGCTTGTCAGAGTTGCCATTTCCAAGTTTTGAAACAGAAGCAGCAGAACCCCCTTAAACCATGTATTTTACTTTGAAAATAACAACATTCTCAGAATTAATTCCTTGTGCTATTTATTAACTGWCTGGATTTTGAGAAGTTAGGGTCACACATGCAACCTTCTATCTCCAAACATGCAGATGTTCTCAGAAAATAGTAACAGAGCAATTTCCTCATTATCCCAGCAGTCCCAGAGATTCAGGAGAATGCCAAAGAGAACACTGGTCAGCAAATTGAACCGTTAACATCAAACATGGCATAATTGCAGCTTTGCTAAACTACAAATCACAACAGAAACTTCACAACGAGCAATGATGTACCTAAAATGGCTATGAGGAAACTCAGGCCTACACACAGACATAAACATACATAGCTTTATTATATAATACAGAGATTTTATAATATATTATATTAAATTTATAACAGAATATAGTTTATGAGCCATGTAAATATATATCGTATCTTCTTTATTATATACATATTKACCATATATAATTATTTTTATTTTGTATACAATTTAATTTAAATTTATATCAGTAAAATTACTTTAAAGAGGAATGGTGAAATGCAGAAATCTAAATTAAGCTGAGGTATTTGTGCATAACCTAAAAACAGACCTCAGTGCTTCCAGATCTAAAACCCCACAGTTACAAGACGGTCTCTCCCTTGCTCCTCTAACTTGCAGATATTTGGCCTTTTTTGAAAGCTGAGGCAGGCATCTGCTACAGAAGGAACAAAYACTTGTATTGTATCAGTAACAGAGATGTCCTGTGTTACTTATCTTGCAGAGCACAGCACAAAGGCCAAAAGTTCCCATTTCTTTTCATGCTCATTGATCYAAGCTGAGCAACACAGCGAGGCATGGTAAGAACCGAAGCAAGGGGCCACTTCACCAGCACCAAAAACAGCTTCACACGCAGTGAAACCCCAGCTGCTGCAAAGTGCTTGTTATARCCATGTAAACATGCCCATGTTAAATGGACAGCCTGCTATCACCTGCCCCATTTACTGGCTAGCTGCCACAGGCTAAAGAGCCCCTCGTGCTGACAAAGATGAGGATAATGTAAAAGGCTTCTTGGTGCCAGAGTTCAAACAAGCATAGGCAATAAAGTGCAGCATCTTTTAGCTGCACTGAGAAAGAAAAGCACATCTTTTTCAGCTCTGCTTATTAAACATTTACCTTCACCACTGTGAACATTGCTGCCTTTACAGGACATCCCAACTCTATGTCRGGAGGTTTTATGCAGTCCCCTGTAGAAAGGGTAAACTTTCAGGCTGRAATCATTCAGGTCTCTCTCATCTTTCTCCAAAGTCTTCCTAAACACATGCATTAGATAAAACTCAAGCCCATAGGTTTTACACTCAAATCTTGTGTCAGTTGTGACAAAGTTAATTCCCAGCCAATTTCACCTKCTTAGAGCCTACCAGCTCTGGACACCAAGTCCACACATTCTTGGACCTGTTTCTGTGTATGCTTGCACTCAGACCTACCTCAGGCTTTCATCTGCTCCCACACAAACCCTGTGACCCAACCTATCACAGGCAGTTGGCATTTAAGTATTTTGCATGCAGGATAAATTCAAGACAAGTGGTGAAATTATGGAACAGAGTATCCTTTTATCCTGTTCAGGCAATAAAAATTCACCATGGCTATAACAGTTAYTTTACTCAGCATCTGACCACAGAGTAGTTTTTCATGCTTTTCTCATCTCTTGGTTTTTCTTGCTTGAGACAGTATTACACCTAGACTTTTTTATAGATCTGATTTTTTACCATTACTAAGAAGATCAAACATTGATTTCTTATTTTCATAGGGGTTTTTAGCAATGAAATTAGTGTGATTTTTTTTCCCTCCAGCAAGCTTGATGTTGGAGTCAACATCCTGGCTAGCAGTCAAGGTGACTCCATAAYCACACAGATTATAAGGATTCCTCTCTTTGACTTCATGGCAAAAAWATATGCCTTTTCATTGCCTTGATGGAGCTTTCAAATCTCACTACAGACTGAGTCAGCCAGTCTTTCRAGAGGAGAAATGCAAAACAAATGCTTGAATTAAGTCAGATTTAAAGAACTGCATTTCTGGGGAGGGACAGAGACGAAGAAGAGAAGAAAGTGATCATTTATTTTTTGTCCTCTCATGCACTGTGATGGTGGGATGAGGGGGATTGAACAACAGAAAAGCAGCCAGAACTGTACAACAATTCCATGACACCGGGTCCTCAGCTCCCTCACTTCCACAAACCTTCCTGATGCCAGCAACCGCCTTGGGGAGTGAGGCATCCCAGGAACAGGACAAACAGATGCACTTTGTTCGTGTTGCCCTTTTGCAAATTCCACACATAGCCAGGAAGACTCAATGCACTTCATACTTCAAGTTTCAGTACCGCTAAGGTACCGTATGTGTATCTTATATTTTATGTATCTTATGTTTATGATAAGTGTATTTTAYGTTTTAATTAATACCACAGCCCTGCTTATATTGCTTCCCTTTTTACTTTYAAAAATTTTTAGGTGACTGGAATGAGATTTTGTACTCGTATTACTAATAAATATGTCAGTTTGTGACTGACTGAAAAAGAAACAGTAAGAAGGTTGCACACACAACTTTCACTGAAGTGTCAGCTTCACTTTGGGCCATATATAGGACATAATCCCATATGTGTGCCAGGTGTATGCAGCAGCTCTTGTCTTTGACTTTTCTATATGATGCAAATTTATATATGTACTGGGCATCCCTTAYTCCCTTTGCTCAGGAGACAGCTCTAGGGACAGCAGTGTACACCAAATCAACAAAATAGCAATATCCAGCACATACTCCAGCTTGCCTGTTCAACCTTTTTACCAAAAAATGGTTTCCCAATGCAAAGGTACAGAATAACAGAGTATTCTAAAATAAAAACAGCCAAGACAGATTTTTTTCACTATTTGAAAAAAGAAATAGCTSTACTTATCCAAAGTAACTACTGCTCCTCCACAAATGCCTTAGGTACTGAGCCAGCACCTACCATGCTGCTGTTTATAAACCTGCCWAGAAGTCTAACCCAGTTTCACTGAACCATCAAATAATACTCTTTGCAGGTGATGTATGTATATGTTTCTAATGGAAGGAACRTATGACCTCACTGAGGCTTAGGAAGTCCATTCTCATAAAACAGATCTTATTTCCCACATATTTTTACATWCACCACCTGAGAGAAAACACATTAAGTATCATCCAGGTCTGAGCTATCAAGACACCAGGGAATCAATTTTCATGACCAAACTGGGTAGCTAATGACCTTCCTCAGCTTGGGTTGAACAGCTTCCAACATACTGCAGGTGCTTCCTCCTGGAGCTGTGTATTTTTTTTCCCTTTTGTGTCCTGACATGTCAGCTTTTTGTATGCACTGTGAAAGTCAACTTTGTCATTCTGGAGTTCCYATTCTCCATGACATGACTGGCACCATGCTGTTTTATTTCTCCCACTTCAGAGATTACCCAGGGTACAATTGAGGAGCAATAAGCTACAATGCCATGTAGCACATTTTTCCACAATCAGGAGAGCCCTAAAAGGTCAGCTATAAGATCTTTAAATGGTTAAAATCTCTTACTGAACCATCCTATTGTCATCTCTTAGAATCTCTGCATTACTGTTCAGTAGCAGTGCAAAGCACAATGCAAAGAATGCATCCAGCAAACTGGATCTATCTTGGCACTCACTGAACAGAGTGGCACGCAGAGCTGGGCCTGCCTCAGATGAATGCACTGTTAAGAAAACTTCTGCGTGGAAATTCAGAAAAGGAATCCAGCTTCTCCCACAACTTACTGAGAATTAGCTCCTAGATCAGCTTAAGCTGATGTAGCATGTGAAAACCAGAAATACTCCAAGTCTATCAAAAGGGAGTGAGTTGCATTTAGCTCTAACTTCAGGAGYCTGCACATATCAGTGCTGTGTAAAATCCAAGTATGATTTTTTTGGAATTGGAATAGAACAAAATGTTAGTCTCCCTAATCCTTGAGTTTGTTCTGCTTTGGATTCATTCCTTGTGGCTCAAATCTGAGCAGTGAGTTTGAGTAGCAACAAGAAGATTGAGATGGAAGCTGGAAGGCTTCCCTCTTACCAGCTGAATCTGCTGCAGATGTTCTRCCACTGGTCAGGTCCTCAGTATTAAGTGACTGCAGATCTGTGTAGGAAGGAGCAATGCTTGGGCTGCTGGTGTCCTCTGAGTTGGTTGTCCAGCTGCTCTCTGAGGCACGGGCTTGCCTCTCAGAAGAGTTGGAAGAGGGGGAAGTCCAGCTGGGTGCTTTTGATGCAGACACTGGTTGCAGAAAACAGGTATTGGTTAGACAAATACAGGGCAATCTCCCCAAAGATCACAACTATTCCAAAGAAATGCTGGATCAGGGTACTGGAGCTCTGTAAATACAAATACTAACATCCACAGTAACACAGTCATTTAACAACAAACAGAGCAATTTAACTAGTGCCTGGCACAGTTACCCTCCAGCACTACTCAGCTGTCTGCTTTAGATCCCATACTGCTGGCAGCCATATGCTTTCCTGTTGCTCAAGTATAGGAGAAGCYGTGACTTTTCAGAACAAGGTTTCATGCCTCCAACACAGCTGACAAGACCTGAACATATYTGTTGTGCAACACAATTTCTACAGTACCACAGACTTTTTAAAAGTGGTTTTATTAWATTTAATTAAACATTCCCTATCTGTGACACCCACTCAAATGCAGTCATCATCTCAGGAATGCTCCACATGGAGGAGGGGGTATAAAAATAAATGGAAATTGACCTATTGATGTGCACTAGGAATGGCTTTTGTTTCTGAACATGTGGGATAGAGAGTCCCAATCTGAAATACTGCATCACATTTCTTCTCAGTATAGACCAAAAATCCTGTGCTACTCATTTGACAGACTTGCATGTCAAACAGTTAAGTCCTGCCTAACCATCACCCAGAGTTTAGAACACATATCATACACATCCTCTGCTATGAATCTGTGTTGTGTACTCTTTGTATTGCATACTCTTTGCCCACAACATCACTCAAATGCTAGGAATAATGGGTGACTCTAGTGAGAAAATAATACTAATAAAAAGAAAGCTATGGTTAAAACATCTCCCTGAACTAGGGAAAAGTGTATGAGTAGAGACTAGTTCTAATTTARTATCAGCATAATAGCTGTTCAGTAAGGTAGTACATCTATATTTAGCTGCTAAACCAACAAAAATCCTGATGCACTCCAAATCTTGCAGTTACTGATCAACTGCTGATACAGAGATTCTCTTCTCGGCATGTAATAGATAAAAAAATCCTTATCAGATTGACAGATACTTTGGAAGAAACTGACAAATTAATGTCAAAGAAGATTTATCTCTCTCCACTCCATGCAAGTGTTGCGACACTGTCTCATTATGGAAACCTTGTTGTGTGCATAGATGGAATATCCAAACAGTGCTCTCTGCCTTGCCTCTTGAGACGTGAATTTATTTAATAGATCTGTGCTGATAGCATCAGGTAAGCAGGCACTGGTACTTTTATGTGCACAGCTGTGAGCCTACATACTGAGTGGCTTGTGAGTCATCCCTAAGGATGAAGAGCTGAAAGTCAGATGTCTCCTCACTGTACAGGTTGACAGTTGTTGTGTTAGACACACAGCCAAAGCCCACCCCTCCTCCCTCCAGGAACTGCACACGGAGCTGTGCTCAATGACTGCAGAANGAAATACATCCCTTTATCAGAATTTGTGTTTAAAGTAACCAATGAAAAGTGACTACTTAGAATATTCATGAAGTTCATTATAGTGGTTATAAAAACATGTTCAATTCTAATAAAGGCGAGTTCAGCGATCATGTCATAAGTAGTCAGAATGCTGTTTCTCCCGGCGCTTTCCCAAACAAATAGACTTAAACTTTAACACAGAACAAGGATGATGAGCATATGATTATAATCTGTCAGTCCCTCTCTCAGTCCTTTCGTTAAACATTGCATGAGGCACCTGAAAAGCCATCCTTAAAACTTCACCTGAAATTGCTTTGGCAATTTATATATATCCTCATTTGGACACAGAGGATAAGTTGAAAAGTTGAGCTCTGTATGTGATTCACCAACAGGAGCCAAAGCCTTTTTTAAGTGTGTTTTATATCTCAAATTCTAGAAACTGTGGAATTACTTTACAAAAAAAGATTGTAAATGTGCAGTATTTTTTTTTGTTTAAAGTCAGTCACAGCAATATGAAAAAACATTTGTCTAATTTAGATATAATAASTCATATAAATGCCAACTATTTTGTGCTTTCTAAAACCAATTTYTATCTAAGACGGTGACTGACTAGACTAGTGTTGCCAAATACTTCTATATAAGGGCAAATTAACTTCATTCCAGGTAAGCAGGGCCATCTTCCAAGAACAGAGTTGTCTGTTTTTTTCTAAAAAGTCTTGTACTTTGAAAAACTGTAACCACAGACAGCTTTTTCTGCAATAGATRTTCTTTAAAATCTTACTACAGTCAACTTCCACCTGTGACTGTTCTAGATTCTCCAACACTAACCCTTGAAACTAGAGTAAGTGCATTTTCCCCTACGCTGAGCCAAAAGACTATCTAGCAATCTCAAAAAGCAAGACAAGCTAAAATAAACATCTACATATGTTTAAGACCTCTCTTCAGATGCTTCTGCTGCTGCTCTTCAGATTCCTGGCAAGTATTGCAGTCTAATTCCTAAATGAGGCAGGGTTTTTTTCCAGAAATTTGGAATTCAGGCTCTAATGCCAATAGATGGAATGTCACAACCCTTCTGCTGCAGGAATTTCTCAGAGATCTTTTAATGTAGAAAGACCAGTGCTAGAACTATCCCTAAAATGCAAAYTCCATAGCACGCATTGGATACTGAAAATCAACTCATTGTTTCCCAAACTGAAAAATGCTTCCTTCTACATGCATTTTATATTTCTTGACATGTTTGTTCTTAAAACAATGTATTGGCTTTTAATATGCAGATTAATGCTACCTTGAAGCATTCATTCCTCTTTGGTGTTCTGAGGACCTGTTCCTTGATCCCTTCACTGTATTATAAGAAAGGAAATTGTGCTAGCAAGGTTTATTATCACATAGGATTTCAGATTTTTCTAATTTTAGGACAGCATCACMGTTTCTAGTGACAGGTGTAGTCACAGCTGCTGATCTTGTGTTGCAAATATTGCCTGTTTCAGAGAGAACAGCACAAAGTAGTTAAGCTCAGATATGCCATTGGACAGCCTCTCAAGGGACATGGTAGGAGTCCAAGTTATTGAGCCATTTAAAACCAGACAAAGCTCTTGGGAAGAAGTGGGGGTGGCTGTGTGTGTGTCTAGGAAGGAGAATGAAACAGATCTTGCCTTAGTCTAATTTTGGTGCTTTGCTGAATACCCCGTTGAATTCAAGAGTGCAGCTAACACTGACAGAATATGAGACTGGGAGCTGGAGGCCCATTGTGTAACAAATGCAAATGTTTTGTCACCCACTGGCTGTGATCATTTGCAGATTGTGTAGCATTTGTGATAGGAACATTCAGATCAGCCTAAAAATCTCATTTTTCACTTTGGCAGAAACAGTTTGACTAACCTGATAATCACCATAAAAAAAAACCAAAACTTCTTTTTTCCCAGCAAAAGAAATACAGGGGAGGAGGCACCACAATACATCATTTCTGTGACTAAATATTTCTGTAGCCTCACTCAAGAGTTTTGGCTTCTTGGGCAGAAATCTACATGATTTGGCAGCTATTGGTTAACTATGCATAAATCCAAAATGCAGAAATATTTTGAAACAAACACTCTGCTTAGCACTWACTCTGCCTGAACTATCCTAAAGATAGTTTTCATTGTGAGGCTCACTATGGGTGCTTTTCATTTCTATACCTGAGGTTTTGACTATTCTTCTCATTGTTGTAAGTCTTTGTCTGTTTGTTCAGCTCTGTTTCTGCCACCAGTCCCCCARTCTCTGCTCCCCAATAATGTCTTCAGTTTTCCCTGGGTAACAATGGTACAGCACTAGCCTTGGTCTTCTTTAGAATGTATTTCCTATAGGATAACCACTAGATTCTAGCTGCCTTTAAATTGGTACTCTTTTAGACTGTGAGCACTTTGGGACAAATACTTGCTTTTGGGGTAACCTGTGCAAAAATACTGTAGCCTTAATGTCAGAGTAAGACAGCATCTCTCTCCTAGGACCCATCCTCTCTGCTCTCACTGCACTCTGGAAATCACACTTTGCAAGCCCTTTTCAAAATGTGTTTCCAGGCAGCCTGGCCATCAGCCTGGATAATTATCCAGTCAGCTGAGCAGCTGCTCGAGCACAGACAGACAGACAGACAGAAGATTTCCTAAGAGTGCTGGAGCCCTGACAGGAACGCGACCGGAGTGCTGRGCCTCTAGGACGTTGCTCTTCACAGCTGCCTGCACAGGAAACAGATTTCAAATGTGTCCATCCTTCTCACACCAATCCTTCTGCTGGTACTTGGCCTTTATACTCCTCCCCCTCCCCAGTCTGGGTATTTGCTATTGTTCTTATGCAGAATGTTTGCTACTGGAAATGAATAATTGCTGTCACCATGAGCTTTCCACTGAGTGTGTGAGTGTACACAATGCCTCCAGCTTTGGTGCTGCCCGTAGAAAAAAATCGTGATCTGCACAATAATGGAGAACAACTAGGCTGGAGTTTATCCTCCCTCTTGCTGTCAAATGTCCCTCACAGTAAAGGGCCATAAAATTTGTTTTATGAAAGTCTCTTTCTTATGATTACCTTTATTAAGGCTGAGCAAAGATTTTTATTTTTTGTTTAAGAAGGTGCATTTGCAAATTTTTCAGTTAACAAGGACATAACAACATTAGGAAGGAAGTACCAAGTCAGAGCAACCAACAGCCCCCTTTGAAAAAGTACGTGGTTTTATGAGTAAGTGTAAGGATCACATARCCATGAAACTAAAGAGAGAGGCAGAGCACCTCAGTTTTACATATATACACTTCATGGGTGCTCCTCCTTCTCTCCACATCACAAGGATCAATACGTATTTACAACTAAGAACAGGAACCAACAAATAAATATAAAGATAAAAAGATTAGAGAAGTTTTTTTTAGCCTCAAGATTCCCCCATTTCTGCACAAAGGTCTAACTGCTGTCTCAAAAGAACCAGTCTGTAGCACACATCAAAAGAGCAGATGGAAAATCAGATAAGTTTTATCCAAAACCCAATCCAAAGCTGACAATTCAAGTTTTCTGACCAAAATATTATTCAGGGAATAATATTTACAGAGAATATTTGATGGACTCAGTGAGCAGAGGAAAACTCTAACTCTTTAAACTGCTTTAAATAACTAGCTGTCATAAAGTGGAATTATTAAGAGAGAATCTCAATTTAAATATGAAAAAGTAAACTACTGCTTTCTTGGGCAATCAGTCTCCAACCTCCTGCAACGACAGAAGTCCGTTCATGCAGAAAAGTGAGAAGCTCAACCACATCAGTTAGCATAAGCAGATGAGGCAAGCCAGAAGATTTGCATGCATGTTTAAAGTATGTCAGAAAGAACTGTTACATTTGAAGAAAAGTGTATGCAGTGCTGGAATTAAGGTAAACTTCTGYTGTCTTTGTAATTCTCCATCTGCTAAAGCATGGCATCTAAAGACAGCAGAAAGTACTGATGAGCACTGACAGTAGTTGTTGGCATCAACAAGCTTCTGGCAAAAAACACAGAGGAACTATGAGCAGGTAAAGACTATGATCATAGAGGTGATCACCATTCTTTCAGTTCTAGATTACAGAGACAAATATGGCTCAGACTTTTTTGATGGTTATTCATACTTCTCTATTAGAAATGTCACTACTGAATGCACCTCTCTGCYCTTTCCCCATGAATGCAGTTTGGCAATCTCTAAGACTTAGTCAAGACACAAGCTGGAGAGAATCACAGGAGGCTTTCATTTTCCTTACAAAAAGAAAATACTTCTCGTTCAATCCAGAAGGATAGTATGAGCCCTTTTTGAAACTCTGGTAACATTAATTGTGTTGAAATACAGTACAAACTRCTCAAAGTTCAATCTTTGAGAAGCCAAAGAGCAAGGCAAAAATCCTGTATGTTCTCATTGTACTTYGTTATCTTACTGGAACAGACCTTTTGATTGCTCTTGCCTCACCTGTTTGTGAGTGTGCTGATGAAGTACTGGTCCATGGTGCATCTTCAAATTGAACCCAAGCACTGATGGATGATGACAGATCAGTGCTGGGACACACATGGTTACCAAGCACAGCAGAATCCACCTTRGGTTGGACAGCTGCCTCTTGCAGCTCTGTGAAGAAAAGGTCCTGAAAGTCTCCATCTGCATTGTGGTTCTCTTCTGAGGAGGTGTCTGAGGAGTTAAGACATTTCACTGGAGGATCCTCAGCACTACCTAAAATAGAGATAACATAGAAAGATTCACAGGAGTCACCATTATTTGTTTTTTTTATTAAAACATCTAAATTTGCCATTTAATGTAGGAAATTCTCCTTCACCTAATGCAGTTTGTGGATTAACACTGGACATGGTTTTGCGCTTAATGATAAAAGGTAAGATTTCCTCCATGGTTGGCTGGATACTGTCTTGAATTTTGAAGGACAGATCCAAAACCTGTAGCAGATCTACATTACATCACATGGAGGGTAGTTTGCCTTTTTGGCCCAAATTCTCTTATTACATAGGGGTAGCAGGAGATAATTYAATTTCTGCACAAACTGCTTCCACTTAGAAGGCAAGCTCTCTGGTGTTAGATACATGACAGTAGTTGGTCTAATTCAAACAAAGACATCTCATCAGTTTTAAAGGAAATCAGAGAGCTTACCTCGTGGGTTAACAGGSAGGAGCAGCTCATCAGTGAAGGACACCCACTCAGACTGGTGGGAGGCAATGACACTTGTCAGAGATGTCATATTCGCAGCAGGCCACTCATCTTCACTTGGCRATTATAAGGAGGAGAAAGCAGAATGGGAGAGGCACAGTGCCGATGAGCTAATAGAAGGAAACACCTCCTTTGCACTTTATTTTCAAGTGCTGTCAAGAAAGAAGTAGTATATGTATTTTAGAAAATTAAACTGGAGAAACTAATGACATAATTTTTTATAATGAAGAATGCTAAACCAATTTATGTACCACAGGCACAGTACTGTCAAAGTACTACCACCTTAGAGACTGGAATGTCACCTGTCTAGAGGAGGGCTACACTCGTTCAACTCCTTTATACAAAGAAACTGAGGGTCTTCAAACATCTTCATGTTCAAACAATCCATCACCAAACCCAATATTTTATTCCTTACTCAAGAAGCCATGCCTCTCATAACCCCAGCAAGAGCAGATGAGGAGATTCTCCCAGGATCAGCAAATTTTGATTATGAGATAACTTAATCCCTACTCCAAGCTGTCAACATGTCTTTGCCCACCTTGCTGCTTGCAATGTCTAATGCCTCTCCAGAGCTAGCAATAAGCTGCATGTTTCATTAYCAGTAACATTCATGTAGCTGGTTCTGGAATGAGGATGAGTTGCAATTAACTTTTATCATGGTCTTGGGTATATGAGATGCTCTCTCATCTAGCTGCACTTCCAACACTGATGCTTGACTGGAACTTCATATTTTAATTTTAAAGACCATCTTACATCTTGTCTGGAGTTAAGCATAATTTTTGTTTTCACAGATGGAGTAACGGAATTTTGTAGGCTCTCCAATGGCASGCACCATACAAATCTGTGAATCTGCTAGATGGAATGGAGTACTGCAAAGTGCTCTAGTTGTTAGCTGGTAACTGGGAGGGTCAGGTCCAGGCAGAGAAATTCTCTCTGACAAGCATCCATGACCACCTCAGACTGACAAACCACTTCAAAACTCAGAAGACTCCTCCTAGGGAAATATGCTRATTCTGTCCCCAATTACCTCAATTGAAGCTCTTGTTGCCATGGTATTGAAGTACTTGGAAATACTGRAACTCAGACTTGGCTATTTGAAAGAGCTTTTAGAAGTATTTCTTGGCCTGCTGTCTCTCACCTAACTAAAGGGTTTTTCAAGGTGAAACTTCATGTTAGTGTACAAGAATAGATACTTCACTGAGAATACTCTACCCTATATTAACATTTGGGTGCAAAAAGCAGACATATTTAAATGCATTCAAGCTTTAAGTATTTTCTGAAGGAGGCAGTTCATCAAAGCATCCAATATSATTATTCTCCTCAGGGTCACCAAGTCATTTGTTTGCTGGAGGAAGATCAGCAATCAAGAAAGAGATAAACTTCAAATTGGAAGTCACAAACCAGCCTGACGACTAGAGAGAATTCATATTCGTTGTCTGAAGAATAATCTTCTCAAGGAGAATTGAATGCAAAATGTACCRTTTCCTGCAAACACAAAACAGGAATCCTAGAGACAATTCGGATGGTTAGTAAAATGTGCCATACGACTGATCCCCTTGCCATAGACTTTCCGAAGCCTGTGGCCCCCTGACCAGTCATCCTGCATATTTTTCCCTAGTTACACAACCAATTCCCTACTGCAACAGGATCATCACCACTTGAGCCCCTTTTCCTGCACTGCCATGGYAGTATGCCTGTCTCCATGCAGTGTGGGCAGGTAAACTTGCATGCCTTGCACAACAGCCATTTTGGGTGCTGGTAATAGAAACTACAAAGCTAAACATAGAGGTAAGCTAAATGAAAAAAAAAAAAAACCAACCCAGATGTTTAGGGTCACTTGGATGCCTATGACAGAACGAGAGGATGACCTTGGCATCTTGTTTTCCTCAAGTGACCAATTAGGCTGTTTGTTTTGGGCTTGTTTAAATATCTGTAACTAAGTTTTCTTTTCCCAGACAACTGGATACTGACCTGCCCTTTCTCCTGGAAAAGTCCTGACAGAAGCATGAAGTGGCAGGAAATGAAAAAAGAAAACAATTTAGCTTGCCCKTGATGCACAGAGACTGCTGTAGAGCTCATTTTTTATTAACTTTTTTTTCTTTTTCATTGCAAGGGGAAAAACAACATGAAAGAAGGCAAGAAAATGGAGTGTTTCAGCTGTACAGATATGTGGGAAAATGATACCATTATTTTAAGATGGATTTCCTCCAGTGCCCTACTGCCTGTGACAAGAGCATAATTCTTAAAATTCACTTAGTACCAGACAGTAAAACTAGCACTTTAAAATGGATAGTGAGCACTGTGAACCCAGAAAAGCTTCAGAATACTGTGCATTGAAGGTTATGCAATTTCCCCATTACTGGAATTTTCTACAGACTTCCCAGTTTGGTAAATAAAAGAGATTGTTTTGACTTATCAGGGTTATCACACTCTTTAGACAAGCAGTCTGAAAGAAAGGCAGTCTGGTAGCTAATAACTTCAAAGATATTCAGAATAGAGGCATTTTGAGGATGCATATGTTAGGTTTTTAAAAAAAAATGAAAAAGATAGAATTTTGTATTCTCTCAACATTCACAAAAAAGCCTCAATCTCACCCCTTGACCTAAATGCCTGTACAGAATTATGAATCATGTACAGCATTGCACACCTGTGCAATGTGGAAAAAAATACCACTTCATCCACAAATTATTTTTCACCTCTGATTCACTCTCCAAAATCCTTCTTAGAGAAAGACCTGAGTCAATCCCACTGTGAACCAAGGAGGCTCAGCCAGCGCAATACCAGTGCCAGTGTGCATTCAGTTAACACAATGCTGCAATTTGCAGAACAACGACAGGCAAATATCKCCAGAAGAACCATTCAAATTATGGAAAAACCTGAATCCTCTTCGTAGGTCACTATTTATAGGGTCACTATTTAAAACACTACAGTGAGTACTCTGCAATTGAACTGCAGCGTGTTCCTTTCTGTTCTTCAGACTTCTCAAACATCCCTGGCTACTAGTAGAGAAATTAATCTTGGAGGCTACAAGGACTAAGAACAAATGGATCCTTTAAACTCCAAATGAGCTACAGTTAAAGCAAAAGTTTATGCTGCACAGCCCAAATAAAAGCAGATGGAAACAGATTTTTCRGAACAAGATATTACCAGGCCATATCAGCACTATTTCTCCCGACATGAATAGGATTGTTTAGATTGTTACTTTTGGATTTGTGTTATTATATGCACTAAGCTTTAAGCGCTGAACTGGTTAAAAAAAGCCAAACAAACTAATTTATCACATTTTTGGTAAAAAAACCTGCAAATCAGAAGTTTTCTTGTTGACACAATAAATACAAGGTAAAGCAGATATGTACCTGCTGACCCCAATAATTCTTACCAACAATTCCAAGGCAGTGATTTGATCATGACTCAAAAAAACCCTCTAAGAAGCTGAAATTTCTGCTTCAGGTGYCCCTTTTTCACATTACAGTTTCACAGTGGTGAATATGAATCTGAGTGACAAGTAGGTGACAGTTATTACCARTTCTCCAAAAGGTAGAGATCAYAGAGCTGGAACAAAACTCCTTGCCTCTTTAGGYCTCCTAACATTTTGATAAACCACATTACACAACCCCTTTTTAAAACTGATGAAGGTTCATTCTAAAATGACAAAACTGCTTTGATAACTAGAAACCTCTCATTTCAAAACTATGCAAATTCACAGTCTACAACCATTCCTTCTTGTGACACATCTGTCCTTTAGKGCAACTCCACTCTAACAACAGATGAAAAGGAATATCATTGTCCCTCTCCCTTTATCTGTTAAGTCRAAAACATATATTTGAGAGACACAATTATCATGTGCCAGAAGGCTGACACCCAGCACTTTGTACAATGAGCCCTCACTTTAGGTGGGACCTTTACGCAACAGAAGCAATGTTCATATGTGGAAATGTTTGTGGCGCTATTGAGGTTTAGAAGTATCTGTAATGGATTTCRGAAGTATCTGTAATTGCATGGTTTTTTTGTAAACACACCATTCAAAGTATTTAATTACTGATGTGTTTGGACTGCAAACTCAAACATTATTTCCCAGTAGATTTCAACAGTGCTTAAAAGAAACAGCTTAGCACAGTTGGTAATTTTAAGCATGAAGGGTCATTTCTCCTATTGCATTGAGTTACATCCCTATGATGCAGGTTGCAGTCAGCTTCTGATCACTACCCAGAGTTAACAGGTTACAGTTATTTAGCAAAACTGGAGAAAAAAATGAGAATAAAAACACTGAGAATGAAATTCAGTTGTTTGCTTTCTTCTTTTCCAAATGTAATGTCGATAGCAAGCTTGTGTTAAGTGTATAGACTCTCTAAATATACTGCCTTACATGGCAGCACTACTAAACAAAATCCTTTAATCCATACAGTTTTTCTTGCTTATATATTCCCTTACAATCCCAGGAACTGAAACATTACCCAGTTACTGCAGTTTGCATTTGGTTTTGTAGGAGACCATTAAGGGAAAACAACTAAGCAAGCTGTTAAATTCCACACAGCAGAGAAAAGAAACTAAGCCAAAGGGACAGTAAGAAAAGGAAAGACTCTGACCATGGCTTTTCTTGTAACAATCAAGCTTCACTCCCATCAGGAAAGCCTCAAGGAAAAATAAGTAATTTTATCTTGACCATGTGTTTGGCAAACCTGAACAGATGAAACAATTCTAGTAGCATGAACTGAGGAGTGATTGCTGCCTTGGGCAAATTTCCAAGTGAGAGAGAGCTCATGGCTCTTCCTCTCAGCTTGGCCTGTAACAAGCACTGACCATCAGCACATCATGATCTGAAAAATAAACAAACTCCAAATTGGAACGTTGTTCTCAAGCATCAAAAGAAAGTTCCAAGTACTTCAAGGTGCAACAGCATAAACAAAACACAGTGCTAAACAACATGCAAAAACAAAACAATGAACGTGAGAAGGCCAATGAAATAAAGGAACYGGATTTGGGTATCATTCTTAATGAAAAAAAATTCTTTTACCAACCTCTGCCTAAATGCATGAGGTAAAATTACCTTAYGAATGACCTAGATGATAGGAATAAAGTCATATTTGGTTGATTATTGTATTCTTAATATTGATAATATTTTCTCCATCTATACAGCTCGCCCAGCTTATAAACTGCCCTGAGAAAGTCTCTAGYAAAACTGTTTCAGATCTTATACCAGTTTACTTACTCTGATACATGCTATTACATGACTTCCATGATTTCAGATGTAGCTTAAGAAGCTCAGTCACTACCTGTTTCATGTAAAACTCACACAAAACCTCTCTGAAAGGAAGAATCAGGGCTCAAAGGAAGACAAATGGACATGCCTTGTGAAACTCCTGCARTCTCTCTTGAAGAAAGGAGAGCTCTTCCCAGTACGGATTACACCTAAGTGAATGGTGACAGCACCCTTGACACTGCTGTGTCTGCAGAGCCTGGGCAAACCCATTTTGTGCCATTACAAGGCAGGTCATTACTATGGTCTCCTGGTGATTTTAGACAGAGATGGAGTGAGGTGCAGTGTGCTACTGAAGGTAACTAGAGCCATCTGGCACACTAAGTGACAGAAAAGCAGACTGGGGGTTTTCCTGAGCTAGGACCCAGTGCAGCCATGCTAATGACCATTCCCAATTATTCCAACAGATATGAAATTATCTGCCTAAATCTACACTGAAAACCCATGGCAGAAGCAGTGTTAAAGCTGAGGTGACCTGAAATGATCTTATTTTCTCCAGCACAACCAGCACGCATAAAACCATATGCCACAAACACACATCCCAGCTTTCCTGGCAGCTCACATTGCAGTGATAGTAAGAGAAGAGAGTCAGCACAGGATGCACTGGTAAGAAAATCCTAAGGATCTCCCTCAGGAATATTTGTGTCAAGGCTGATATCGGAGAGGTCAACAGCTGCTCTTTTTGCTACAACAAAATTTATCTGCCACAGAAGCTCCTGTGTTTTCCACAGACAGAGAGAAAACACCTAAGATGCTGTCGTGCAGACAATACCAGCATATTTAGACAGTTCAGAAGGCAATAATGTTCTCTCCTTCTGCCAAGGCCATGCCTTAGAAATATTTTATGGATTCTGGATGCCTCATAACGAGAGACGGAGATTCAAAATTTGAAGTTGGACAAAAATTGTACAACCTTCTCTATTACTTGTACTCCTAAAAACTTGAGAAATGTAAAAAGACACTACAGAAGAACAGCAGTGCAAAAAAGAATAGGAAGTTTTCGGGTTTTTTTTTTTTTTTTTTTTTACTATTAGAAGTAATATGTAGCAGGCAAAAACCAAGGGAGGATGTGAGACAAAATGTTTGACAGTGACAGTTCACATCACCAGTCACATCAGGGAAACAGAAGTTCTGCATTTCAGGACTTTCAATATAGCTCACTCTGGGTACACAATTCATGTAAAGGGTAACTGAAGCCTCCAGTCACATAATTGCATGGGAACTTGTGGGACAATGTCCTAAACTCCCAGCCTTTCAACTCAAACTAAATCCGAGGCAACAATCAGTCAAATGCTTCTCTCATCATACAGAACAACATTGCAATAAAACCAGACTGGGACAAGATCACAGGAAAGAGGCAATGTGCCAATTTGTTTAGCAGAACTTCTGCATTCCTAAAATCTGGGACCTTTCTTCTCCACTATAAATGGGAGAAAAAAYAGGAGAAAAACCATTAATTTAAGGTTTTTCTTCACAAAGATTAGACTATTTCAGATGAGGCTTTATTTTGTTCAGCAAAATTCTGTTGGTAATAACAGTAGGCAACAGGAAATCTAAATGCAGTAAMGGAGGAGAGGTTGCTAACATCCCCTCAGGAGAGGGTGGGTACATGGTCCTTACTACTCTTCCTTGTTTYCTCAAGGCCTTCATAGGGCAGAATTCCAAAGCAGCATCCAGATCCCAGACTTCCACACCTGCCTATTACATGTGTCACAGATTTTTCTCTGCTTTAGGACTGTGAATTTGCAGTAGTCACAACCACTGCACAACACAATAATGTTAAATTAATAGCACAACACAATGTTATTACTAGCACAACACAATGCTATTAAATTGATGCTCCAATCCACAGTATGTGAGGGAACTGGGTTTAAAAATTGGTTTCTTCTTTCAAACCTCAAAAAGTGAGTCATACAAGGGACATATGTTTCAAAAGAAAATTCCCACTGAGCAACCTGGTTTACACATCTGATATTGATGCATTAATATATTCTCATTTACATTCCACATAGACAAGCCAGCCAGATGTATTCCATTTACCAAACCCTCCAAAAGACACTGTACTTTATTTGCTRTTGTGATAATTATCGAAGTGGGTTTTTTTTATGTTAGCTCACTAATGCAAAAAGCATAATGCTCTACAATTACTCTAGAACCAACTATGTCACTGCAGCCTGACAGCACTGAAGACAGMCATCAAGAAGTGAACATATCACAAAATCCTATCTACCTGTCTTCTAAACTGGGACTAATGACAAAACGGGGAAGTGAGTAAGCTGTCATAAGTTTACTGGATTATCATGCTGGATGATAAACACTCTTTTAGCACACACACAACCTGGCTTGTATGAAATRCCATCCTGTTCTGACAGAGAGTAACATTCCAACACTGCTTATATGCATTGAAATAAMTTACTGTACTTAAAGTATTCACTGSACAACTCAAAAACTGCTTCCATTAGTAAAGAGAAAGCAGAATTCTTCCTGAGCCTCAAGTTTCAATTGTACCCATGAAATCAGGGCTTTATTTTCTTATTACAAAAAGTTAAATGCTAGAAGATGGGTGAAAATACCTTCATTGAAGATGGTGGGTATCATCATATGCCATCAATCAGCATCAGTTAAATTCTTATTCTGACTAAGAAAGCTGGGGGAAGAGGGAAAAAAATCACAAAACCAGAAAAAAAWATCCAAGAAAGAAAGAAGTCAAGCCCTCAAACACTAGCCACATTCAAGACAAGGGAGGAACTGAATTCTGTAGACAGAGATGCTTCACTGGAGGCAGCATGCCTACAGAGAGGATGAGTATTGATCTGTCTGAGCTGTGAGTATGCACAGAACGGGAGAACAGATTCAGAGTGAGAGAAAAACACAGAATCCAACTGTGAAAGCATCAGGAAGACAACAACTATTGAGAAAGAGATGCAGCCCTGAATGAAAGCAAAGAAGTTTTCTTGTGCTGACTGTCAGCTGGAAAGAGAGATTAGGAACACCAAGCAAGAAATTAATATTCTGTTCAAGTCTTGTCTGTATTTCCATATAGCTAACAACTTTTTACACATCAATAATTTCTCTGTATTTGCAATTCTATGTGACATCTTTTGTAACTTCTAATCAGCAGCACCCCTCCAATGAAAAGAGTTCAAAAAGGGATTTTTGTTATAAAGGAGAMCCTTTTTGATTGTTATAGATAAAGGCAACATTAAAATGTGAGGTTGTCTCCCAGTTTAAGGAAATCCTGCTTGATCATTTAAAGCAGACAAAAACCAATACTCTGGAAGAGATATCACAGGGAACAAACTTACCCTAGCTGAAAATTCTTTTGATGATCCAACCGGTCTTTCCTCATTTCCARTGTCTGGAGAGTCAAATGCAACTTAATGTGATGCCAAGACATTGCAGCCCTTCAGGGCAACCCACAAGTATTATGTTTGTTGTCACTCTCTATTTTAGACAGCCTAAATATAGGCCCATTAGACTTGATAGTTCTATTCCTCTAGCATGGCTACTCCTGTTTCAAGAGAATGAAAAACAACTCTAGAAAAAATACTTGTGCAAAGACTGAATTTAAAGGTGCCCAGTATTTTATATAATATTACCAAAAATAYATCTGAAGTGGAAACAAAGTTCTTGACAAGTTAAATTCAAAACCCTATGTTTGCAATGGTACTGTCAAATGCATTTGTGTCTAATTGTATTTGTTTAGTTGTTAAAACAGAAGAATGCATGGTATACCAGCACGATGTAGAACGTAGGGTATGAGAAAATCCTTCATTCTTTGTTGTTTGGTTTTGGTTTTATTGAGGTTTTGGGTTGTTTATATTAACACACTAATAACTGGTACTGTATGGCACCACCCCTATGCTAGTGCCTATGAGGCAGCAGGCAACTTTGCGCCTCCCAAAGAGGAATCCAAGATGTTGCCACCTGTCTAGGTGAGATCCTTTAAGTGATGCAGAGGTAMGTGGTGAGAGTGATGCAGGCCTCTCTTGCACATGGAGGCAGCAAATCACTTGTATTTTATTACATTCATTATTTTGCTGAGGAAGCTATGACAGGGAGACACGGCAAGTCTGATGCCAACTGCAGGAAGTTTGCACCTCATGCTCGAGGGCATCAAATAATTAATACCAACATTACTGCATGGCTTCTACGAGATGCTTGTCTTTTAACCTGATGCAAATGCCTCGTAACAAAGCATTCAAAAATGTGTTTAAAAACGTGTAGTATTATACACCAAAATTTTATTTACCAGCTCCCAGAGTGGGACAATGGCTACTCACTCAGTCGTAGGGGCCCTATTGTCAAAGTATTGTCAAAATTGGAAAAGCAGGGAGTACTGCATATTAGGTGCATGACAGAGCTGTRCAGACACCCTGGGGAAGGTCCCTGGAGGCCAAACCATTTACAGAAGCTTCTGCAATGGCAACTCAAGCCTGGCTTGAGCCAGTCAGACACAARTGCTCTGGGTGTATGTACCTGCACAGGCTACACAGAACCACTACTTATAGATGCATGGGAAAGAAAAAATATCCAGTTTTCACAGAGACATAACAACGTGATTCAATCTTTTGAAATTCCACATTTTGAGGACATGGAATAATTTACTTGGATACACCAAATCAATACCCCCCCCCCCCCCAAAAAAAAAAAAAAAAAAAAAAAAAAAAAAAAAAAAAAAAAAAAAAAAAAAAAGAAAAAAAATTAATATAAAAAAAAAAAAAAAAAAAAAACCCCCCCCCCCCCCAAAAAAAAAAAAAGACCGGAGAAAGGGACAGAGAAAGGGACACACACAAAAATGTACAGCAAAGTAATTTCCCTATTCTTTCCTTCTCAAAAAACCCGTTACTTAAGTTTAAAATGGCTGACATCTATTTTATAATTTAATCATAGAATCATAAAATATTAAATCTTAGAAGGGACCTTCAAGATCATCTAGTTCCAACCCCCTTGCAATGGGCAGGGACACCTTATCTAACCCAGCCTTGAACACTGCCAGGTTTGGAGCATCCACAACTCCCCTGGGCAACCTGTTCCAGTGTCTCACCATCCTCCCAGTAAAGAATTTCTTCCTAATGTCTAACCTAAATTTCCCCTCTTTCAATTTGTACCCACTACTCCTTGTCTTATCACTACAATTCCTAATGAGGAGGAAACCTTGTAAAGTTTAACTGCAGCAGGTGACCAGCCATTCTGTATAGCTAGAACTGTGCTCTCCTTCTGCATTATGTATGTGGAAACTTAGAGAGTAAGATGAGAGTCACATGGTTAGACAAGTGAAGTCATGAACGTATTCCAGCTCTCAGCTGGACTTAGGTAATGCAGTATCCCAGAGTTTTAGACAAGAATTTAAWTCATGTCACATTTCTGAGTGCTGTCACGTATTGCATAACTTTTTTCTTCCTGGTTAATGCATGACCACTTTTGTGTTATGCAAGTGCTTTAGGAGAGCAACCACATGAAAAAAACCACCAAAACACAAAATAAAAAAAAACAAAAAAAAAAAAAACCAAAACAAACAAAAAAAACCAAAACAAAAAATAACCTACCAAAGAATCCCCAAGGCTCCCTTTCCATCCAAGCCACTAGAAGTTTAAGACAGGTTTATTGTTGCCTTGAAAACTCTAGAATGTAGTCAGGAAAACAAAGCTCAATTAGCCTTAGTTCCAATCACATTTGTATCAATAGCCTGGGTTGGATACAGGGAGAAYCTGTGAACTTTTCTGTGAAAAAAAGAGTGAATGCCAGTGCCAACCTGAAACCACATGTACTGTGGTAAACTAATACAGCTGCCTCCATTGAGAGAGACTGGACTTAAATTAAATTGCAGAGATCAGAAATGTGTTATYCAGGAGAGGGAAGCCCAGATCTACCAAATCTATTCTACCTCAGTTTTATCCTCTTCAATAATTTTTAGCCAGGTAAATACCTAGCAAGGATCAGAAAGAATGGAGCATTTCTGTTGGCAAGTTTCTGTCAAGAGCAGCTGGCAATTAAACAGCAACTAATYATTAAACTTCATAGGCCAAATTCTTCCCTACAGCTATTCCATTGAAACTGCTCTATTAGAAAATAAACTGGCCTTGTGCTGTGGAGCTTGACCAGCTCTAGTTTCAGTTTTGCAGCTAGCAATACTTTTTCTCTTCAAAAATGCTTAGTAGAGGTTTTTTCATGCATTTCCATCACCCACACAACCACAAACCACGATGAAGTTCTGCAAAATAGTACCTTCTGTTCACCAGAGGCCCCTGATTCAGATAGCAAAATYAGTGTATCGTATACTGAACCTCTATTTCAAAAGTAAATTCAAGATAATTCTTTCATTTCATTTTACAGCTGGCAAACCCAAGAGCCCACAGAGAGAATTAGTTTCTATAAATATTCGTGTCTATAAATGCCAACTAAAACTTGGCCTAAAAGACCATAATGAATCAAGAAACAGCTCAGCAAAAAGACATCCTTTCTCTCTAGCTCACCAGGYAGGTCTGCTGCCCTTGGACCAAGAGCTCCACTCTCAATCTCAGCTCAGGAGCACACTGTTTGCTCTTTGAATATTGGGATAGTTTTGTACAACTAGAGCACCTCTGTAGGATTCTGAAGCACWCCAGGTCAGTTCTGCCCTCTGTTTCAAGCTGAAGGAATTATGCAGAGAYATTTAAGTTCAGTTACCTTAATAAAGCAAGATGAATCACACCTCACTTAACTCCAGACACCCGGTCAGACATCCGAGATCGTCACCTGACGCTCTGTTTATAGTCAATAGAAGGAACACAACACCTCCAGAGGATCCTTTGCCTGATGTGTTTTCAAATGAGGCGAACCCCCTCCAAGAAGAGTATGGTAATTAACTTAGACTTACATGTSTTTTTCACACATAAGGGCATAAACTTCAAGAAAGGCTTACACATATTTCTAGACATTTCAGAGCAGCAGACTGACAAACCTTAATATATCACTGCTGAGAAAATATTTTCAATATTCTGGGGAAGACTTCCATCAAAAAAGTACCTATTGAAGGATTTTCGTGACTGATGAGAGCAAAAGCTCATTAATTTTATGGTTTCCCTTCAGACACTGCATCTCTATAGAACTGGTGTATAAGACAGCTATATATTTCAGTAATCTATTYCTTTTAAAGAATACTTCCTATTAAAAAAAACCCACTAATTTGTTTCTATGTTTATCTAAGGGACACACTGTCCTAGCATTGATGTCTAGTGTTAACTTTTTTTGAATTATGCTACAATGTTTATTCTTTTTGGGTTTTTATATACTAAGGATTATGCTAAATTTCAAAATGGGTTGTCAAATTGGTAAATCCTAAATTTACACTAATAACCAGCATAAAACCTTTCCAGTAGGAGCAGAGTCACAGAGTAAAATACTCGCCATTAAGGCCACAGCTTTCACACTACCTTTTTGGCGGCTTTTACTCACAATTATCTCCAAAATGATCCTGTTGGCTAAATTTGCATTAGCACTTGGAGTACATTAAATGAGCTCCTCCTTCTGCTTGGTTTTTTAATAAGAAATACTCTTAATACAAAATCAGTGTTCTAAGATGCAAACTTAACCTGCACAGTGAAAGCAGGTGATCAGGACATTCATTTTGAAAATGCATTCCTGCTCTAAATAATGTGCTCATGTATTTGCATCCATAGTTTTTTTCAGCAAAGAAGAGAATCCTGGAACATGGATGTGTGTCGCCTGGTATTTCCACAGGACTGTGTTTTTTCAATTTTTTTTTCCAATCTCAATTKCTGAAATTTTACCCCCCTTTCCGTTTTGGAAAAAAATAGGACATTCCACACCATTCACCTTATTCGYACATTTAGAAGACACTGAAAACTGATTGTGCAGAAGTCAACAGGGGATATATAATCCCTACCTGGGAAGCAGTCTTACCTGTACAGATACCTGTAGATGGATTTCTGGCCCTGTTTAAGGTCCTGGCCAACCTTTCACCACCTACAAGGAGCAAAGATTTAATCCCTAAAATTTCCAGACRTATGAGCTCAGTTGTAAGGCTTTTAATTTCCTAGGACTCAAATTCTTGTGGTCATAATTACAGCTGTAGTGTTAAAGACAACACATGCTAATAACCCAACACATACAAAGACAGGCATTCCTTCCTCGAGGTTAACCACTTGTGAAGTCATTACATCCATTAGCAGAATTCACAATCCTGTAAGAAAACATCCTGCATGCTAGACTCCAAATAAATGTACTAAGACATCTGAGGAAAAAATAACCTGGTTTTGCCATTGAGTATTTAATCTTTTATTTTTCCTTTTTTTTTTTGGTAATGCAACTTAAAATTCAGACAAGCTGGCCAAGAATTGCCTTCTGAAGGCTGTCCTTTCCTAGCTGAGCTGCAGAGTGAGTTTAAGTGGTTACCATAGATAAATACAACTTCTAGATGACCAAAATTTCATTAGAAAACTGTGATTACCACATGAATCCTTACAGTTCTATAACTTAGTTTACCCATGATCTTTTTAGTTTTCCAGCTTCCAAAGAAAAAGCTGATGGTGTTACAAAGACAACCGTTAACAGGATGTTTTAACA